TTTGGCCTGAAGGCTGTAGCTTTCTGATCCTGCTGTAGAATGTCAGTCTTTGGTTTCCTTTATCTGGCTGGGATTCTTTTACAGGATGAGTGCAGAGTTTCTATGCTTCCTGAAGAGAGGTATTCCCTTTGTGTAAGGACTGGGATTCATGGACAGGGTCAGGTCACTTCTGGTGTTTACGGGGTCAACCAGTGTTCCTGCACAGAGTGAGGACAGGGATTCCTGTAGTTTCTATAGTTTTGTTCCTTTCCTGAACCAAACAGGGATTTCTATACAGGAGAAGACAGTTGTTTCTGGAGAGCTCCAGACTAGGAGTTCCCATACAAGTTCAGGATGAGGCTCCTTAGACTGCATTAAGAGTTTCCTATGGAGGGGTGCCTGGGTGGCTCAGTCATTGGGTGTCTGCCTTCGGCTCAGGTCATGATCCCAGGGTCCTGGGATCGAGCCCCACATCTGGGTCCCTGCTCAGTGGATAGCCTGCTTCTTCCTCTCCCTCTGCCTACTTGTGCTCGCTCTCTATCTCTCTGTCAAATAAATAAATAAAAATCTTAAAAAAAAAAAAAAAGAGTTTCCTATGGAGGGGCGCCTGGGTGGCTCAGTTGTTGGGTGTCTGCCTTCGGCTCAGGTCGTGATCCCGGGGTCCTGGGATCGAGCCCCGCGTCGGGCTCCCTGCTCGGCGGGAAGCCTGCTTCTCCCTCTCCCGCTCCCCCTGCTTGTGTTCCCTCTCTCGCTGTGTCTCTCTCTGTCAAATAAATAAATAAAATCTTTAAAAGAAAAAGAGAGAGTTTCCTATGAAGAGATCAGGTGGTCCAGTTCAGGGTCAGCACAGGTGTTTCTGTACAGGTTCAGAGCTATGTTAATGTAGACAGTAGGAACAGGTGTTCATGTCTAGATTCAAATCAAATTGTTACTAATCGGGCTAAATTTTTTTAAAGATCTTATTTATTTATTTATTTGAAAGAGAGAGAGCAGGGGAAAGAGCAGAGGGAAAGGGACCAGCAGACTCCATGCGGAGTATGGAGCCTGATGTGGGGCTTGATCTCACAACCCTGAGATCATGACATGAGCAGAAATCAAGAGTCAGACGCTTAACGACTAAGCCACCCACGTGCCCCTGGGCTAAATTTTTTTGAAGATTTTATTTCTTTGAGAGAGAGAGCACGAGCAGCGTGAGAGGCAGAGGGAGACGCAGACTCCCCGCTGAGCAGGGAGCCCGACGTGGGGCTCGATCCTGGCATTCTGGGATCATGACCTGAGCCCAAGGCAGATGCTTAACCGACTGAGCCGCCCAGGCACCCCAATTGGGCTAAATTATGCTAGCTGCTGTAACAAACCCAGAATTTTAGAGGATTAACAAATAAGTGTTTATTTCTTACTCATATGAAATCCAATGTGTATATTTATTACTGATCATTCAGGAACCCAGGCAACTTGCATTTTGTGGCTCTGCTCTCCTCTGAATCCTTGGAGTTCTCACTATTGAGCTGGTAGATGGGAAAAGAGAGAGTGAAGGATTCCTTGAGAGATTTTTATGGACCAGGCTTGGAAGTGGTGTATATCACTTTGCCTATACTCCATTGGTCAGAACTCTGTCACATGTCCACATCTCACTGTAAAGGAGGTCAGAAAAGTGAGTGAGCTTAGGAGAACACAGGTTTGAAGAGCCTGTAGCACTGTCTGCTACAGGATTCTATAGACCCCACAGAGCTGTTCTGTCCAATGTGGCAGCCACTATCCACAGTCAGAATAATGGTTCCTGTACAGTATGAGGGTGGGGCTTCTGGGACAAGGCTGGGGCCAGGGCTGTCAGACAGTTACATCAGGACATCCTGTTTGGGGTCAAGAGAATGTTTCCAGAAAGCAAGGTTAGGAGTTCCTATAAAGGATCAGGCCAGAGATTCCTGTGAGTGGAGTTAAGGATTTCTGTTGAGAGGAAAAGGTTTTCTATGGAGAGTCCAGTCAGAGGGTTCCAGTACAGTTGTAGGCAAGGCTTCCTGTAGGGGGTCAGGGCTGTGGAGCTAACACATGGTAAAGAGAGGAAGCCCTGTACAGTGTCTGCGTAGGGGGTCCTGTGCCAGGTGAGGCCGTAGGTACCTGTATAAGAGGAGGTCTAGGCTTAAAGTAGAGGATCAGGACAGGCATCCCTGCCACAGGGTCAGGAAAGGTTTTTCTTTTTTACTTCTTTTTTTTTAGGAAAGGGTTGTAAGTTCAAGACTGAGGTTGGTGTTAAGAGTTGGATTACAGGGGCGGGGGGCGGGGCAGGCGGCGTGCCTGGCTGGCGCAGTTGGTTAAGCATCAGACTCTTGGTTTTGGCTTAGGTTGTGATCTCAGGGTCCTAGGATGGAGCCCTGCATTGGGCTTCATGCTCAGCAGGGAGTCTGCTTAAGATTCTCTTCCTCTTCCCCTGCCCCTACACCCCACCCCCTGCACTTGCTCGTGCTCTCTCCTCTCTCTCTCTCTCAAAATCTTTTTTTAAAAAAAGAGTTGGATCATGGGTTCTTGTGGACTCTACAGGTTAGGGTGTGAGATCAGGGATTGTTGTGCAGAGTGACATCAGGGGTCATTGTCAACAATGGAGGCAAGAGCTTCTATATTCAATTGGAGTTCCTGAAGAGGTTGAGGATGGAGTTTCTGCAGAGAGAGCTAGGTCAGTGGTTCAGAACTAGATTTTATTGTGACAGAAGTGTTTCTAAAATGCTATCTGGAGGGCTGAGCTCCAGTACAGTGTGAAGACAGAAGTGTCCTGTCCAAGGTCAAGGCAGGATTTCTGTAGAGAGATTGAGACTAGTGAAGAGGCTCAGGACAGGTGTTTCTCTTTTTTTAAGATTTTATTTATTTATTTGAGAGAGAGAGAGCACAAGATGTCCTTGAGGACATCTGCTTACCCCTACTATGTTCAGGATCTGAGGCAGAAGGGCAGAGGGAGAGGGAGAAGCAGACTCCCTGCTGAGCAGGGAGCCCAACGTGGGGTTCTATCCCAGGACCCTGGGATCATGACCTGAGCCAAAGGCAGCAGCTTAACCGACTGAGCCACCCAGATGCCCTAGAACAGGTGTTTCTAAAGAGGTGGCACAAGGGCTTCCTTACAGTGTGAGCTCACAGATTCCTAACTGGGCTAAGTCCGAGGTTCCTGTGCCAGGGGAGGACAGGGCTTCTTCCGATGCAAGGTTAGGGCTGATACTCCTGTCCAGGGTCAGCATGGGTGTCCTGTTACTAATTAGAGAAAGGGTTCCCTTAGAGTGTCAGGCGAGGGCAGCTGTTCTGGGAGGCAAGGGCTGGGGCTCCTGAGCAAGGGCCAGGCACATGTCCAGCACAGGTTCTGAGAGGGGTTTCTGCTCAAGATGCGGACAGGGGCTCCTATAGGGTGAGAGGGCTGGGGTTCTATGGGGTGGCCAGGCAGGCAGGAGGCTTTTACAAAGACCAGGGAAGTTCTGGACAACCCCTGTAATGAGCGTGGACTGCCGTGATTCTGCAGCGGGCCAGCATGGTGAGTAGCTGAAGGAGAGCTGTCCTTGAGGACATCTGCTTACCCCTACTGTGTTCAGGATCTGAGGGCCCGCGGTCCTCATCTTTGGGGCTCTGGGGGAAAGCCATAAAGAGAAACAGCCCAAAAGCAAATTCAGATGTGAATGGATTGAGTGAATGATGAGAGCGAGAGAGAGAGAGAGCGAGAGAGAGGCAGCCCAGTTAAGTGTGAGCAAGACTCACGTGGGGGGAAGTGGCATCCAAAATCCACTCCTTAAACTCAGTGTGGTCAGGGCAAGTAATGCCAGTTCTGAGCCTTACTATTTCATTAGTAAAATGAAAATGTAAAGTGCATAGTATACTTTCCTTTCCTTGGAGTGTTTTTTTTTTTTTTCAGGTGTTCATGAACCAAAGCAACTGAAGCTTCCCAGCCATTGCCCAGCCCACAGTAAACACTCAGCAAATGGGGCTGTTTGCTATCAGGAGCTGCTGGGTAGTATGGACGCTAAGCCACGGAGCCTGGCTTTTCCCCCTGTCTCCCGCTGTGTGGCCTCCAGCGAGCCACTTAACCTCTCTGTCACCTGACTCCACACAGGCTCCTACGTAAGGGTTTTCCATTTTGGAAGAACAGATACCCCTCTGGGGCGGAGAAGTGGGCCCAGGTGAGTAGGTGCGTTGGTGAGGGAGTTGGCCTTATGGGGAGGAGCTCCCCCACCTACGGGGTCTAAATATCACCCCCAGAAGCTATTTTGTCCTCCTAATCTTCCCCTCTCCTCTGCCATTTCCCACAGAGCTGCAGGCCGAGCTGGGCCAAGAGAGATAAGAGATGACTGACAGGGAAGGCCCCCTGGACAACCCCCGTGGTCCCACACTGGCCATTCTGACCTTTTTGATGGCTCCCATTCCAGCCCCCCCCCTTCCTGTCCCGCACATGTCTTGTGTCCTCTGGAAGGGGGTCCCCAATGGAGGCCCAACTGAAACTCTGCATGTTGATACTTTGCATGAACAAGTACACACAGAGCTGCTCATGGCTGTCAGCCACTCAGAGACACTGTGGCCTGGCATACACCACGTGATCTGCGCTCCCACATGCGTAGACGTGCAGAGAAATGCCGCCGTTACCCAACCCCCAGAGCTCCCCGGACGTGCAGACCCCCGCGGTCCCGCTGTTATAGCCTCCACACGCCCCTACACACAGCCTGCATTCAACATTCCAGAAGCGTCTGCTCCTGCTGTCGCCTGGTGTCACGCACCCTGTCTTGGAAAGCCTCACCCCCTCGGTCACACGCTGTATCTCACCCCGTGGTGTGTGGCGACCCACGCCGTCTCAGGCCACCCGGAGGCTGTCACATGCAGCTTCACGAACACTGTTCACAATCGCACGTCGCACCCCACGATCATGAAGTGTCACATAGGCGGCCTCAGCTTCCCGTGGCCATACGCTGCAGCCAGACACTGTCCTCAGAGACGCCCAGACATGCAACCTCCTTCCCGTTGTTCTTGATTCAGTCCCACACAGACTCACATCTCCGCTCTTAGGACTTTGGTGGTTTTATTTTACAAAAGCTTTGAAGGGCCAGGCCAGGGGATGGCTGGGGCCCAGAGGGTTGGGTTGTACTGACTGCTGGCTACATAGGAGAGGGACCCCACCGCCGCCCCGAGGCCATGCTCTGTGCTCTCAGGAACTCAGTGGAGCCACCACAGTAGTGGTGGTGGTGGGAGGAACGGGACCCGCGGGGAAGGAGCCTGCGGGGGAACCCACCAGGGGTCCCGGGAAAGGCATGAGGTGACTCACGGGCCCTGACAACACCACGGGGCCCAGGCCTTGGTAGAGATGGGCAGCACTGGGTGGGCCCAACGTCAAGCCGGAGGCCACCTCCCCACAATTCCCACTCCCGCTGCCCCCGGCCACCACCATGAAGCCACCAGCCGGTCCTTCAGCTGCTCCTGTACCTCCCAGACTTGACCCTCGTTTCTTTTTCCCTTTTCCAGACGCTTTGCGGTTTCGAGTCTGGATACCATCCTTCCGCATAGTCAGTGGTCGGTTCACCTGCCCAAAGGGAGGCCGTGAGTGTTTCCCAACTCCAGATCTTTGCCTCTGTGTCTTGACCAGGGAGGCCATCTCCATCCCACCTCTTTAAGCATAGAGAATTGCTTCAGGGACTAGGGGAGCGTGACCCTGATATGGTGCGGGGACTGTCCTAAGGAATCCCAAGGTTGTGAGGCCCTGAGCTTGGGTAAGCCTCTGAGGCTGATGGAGCTGCCTCAGGTTTCGGGGCAGAGGGATGGAAGTTAGTGGATGGCTGGGAAGGAGGAGGAAGGAGATGGAGGAGGGAGGAGGGGCAGGAGGTCGTGGAAGGGTGTGAAGAGATGAAGGAAAAGGAGGAGGGAGGGATGAGGGCCAAGGAGGAGGGGAATAGAGAAGGAAGGAGGGGCAGAAAAGGTGGGGGAGAAAAGGGAGGGTTATGAGGGGAAGCAGAGGTGGGGGCAGAACAGGAGCAGGGGAGGAGGGCAGTGGGACGACAGGAGGAGGGGGGAGGCTGGCGGGGGAACGGGCCAGGACAGACCTGGTGTAGCTTGTAGTAGAGGCCACAGGCATTGCACACAGGGTCCCCACTGGCATTTCTCCGCCATAGCGTCGTGGTGGTTGTCTGGCAGTTGGTACACTGGGTACCCGCCCGTTTGCTGACAATCTGGGGGGAGAGAGAACGTGAGGATCAGCCCCCTGGGGGGTGGGTGGAGGACCTGAGAGGTCAGGGTCAGGTTGAAGGCAGGGCTTCCCTTGCAGGGTAAGAACAGATGTACTCACAGGACGATGACTGTGGGTTCTGTATGGGGCAGGGCCTCCTGGCCGGGATAGGGGATTTTGGTATTGGGGGTGGGACTCCACCAGTGATTCCCAACTTTGACCATACATTGGAATCACTCAGGGGGTCGAAGACAATCCGGAGGCCCAGGCAGCACCCTAGGCCAATGAAATCTACACATCTAGGGGAGGGCGCCAGGCCCCGGTGGTTCAGGGTGTCCTAAGGTGAGTCCCGTGTGAAGCCAAGGAGGAAAACGCTGCTGCGCAGGGACAGGCCGGGTTCCCCGCATGTAGCCTATGCAGGTAGGTTGAGGATAGGCATTCCTATGCAAAGCTGGGTGCCCGCGTGGCTGGGGAAGGGATTGGCGGGGGGCATATGGGTTCTCGGGGAGCAGGAGGACCGGGGTCCCTGTACGGGCCGAGAACAGCAGTTCCTGGGGCAGGGGAGGCGGGCCTGGGGTCTCACCAGGCGCTTCTTAGGCCGGATGAGGGGCCTGTTCTGGCCATTCATCTTGTGATAGAGGCCGCAGGCATTGCATAGGTAGTGGCCCGTCCTGTCCCGCCGCCACAGGGGAGTGGCTGTTGCTCCGCAGTTCACACACTCCCTGGCCTCTGATGGGGCGGACAGAGGGGATGGGGGAGCCCAGGCTCAGCCCAGCTTGGCCTTGGACGCCCCCCACCTCAGCCTCCCCGTCCCTTTTTGGGGACCTCACCACAGGGGGGCAAGGGCAGTGTCCCACGAAGCTTGGGGGAGGAATAGGCCGCTGGATTGAGGGGGCTCCCAGTGGGAGAAAAGAAGGTACTGGAAAAGTCAGGACCCCCGTAGGCACTGCTGGGGACAGGGATGGATGAAGGCAGCACAGGCCCCAGCGTCAAGAGGTCTGGACTTAGCCTCTCTGTCTTTAAGGTCTCCAGGAAGCTGCTGCCGCCTTTCCCATCAGGGTCTTCTGGGGCCTGGGGAGGGGAGTCCTCGCGGGTGGGGCACACGGTCGAGGCAGGATAGAGCCCTGTCTTGCCGTAGGTCCAGCCGGCGTAGGGTGAGCCCCCTGGGATCCCCTCCATACAGTTGAGCAGTGGGTACACCTGAAAGACTTATTAGGGAGGGGGGTATGGGAAGGAAGGAGGGATCAGTCTAAAGCCGTCCCGCCTTCAGGGCGCAGTGCTGCCCCAGAGCTCCAAGGGAGCAGCCAAGTCTCCAGTCTTCCCACAGGCTACCGGAACAGCTGCTGGCCGTCGGGTAACTCCTGGGTCCCGAGCCCCACCGGTCACTCTGGCAGCTGCGGTAACCTCCACCCATTTCCAAAGGGGCTTTGAGGATGCCCGTTGGCGTTCGGAGCCCCATGGGTCCCTTGACAACTAGGGCCACCACCACCCGCTTCCAATGTTGCTTTCCAATATGGCTACCCCAAGATGGCAGACCGGGAACATTGGCATTCCCAGGTCTGGGCTCAACTGGGGGAAGTGGCCATCTTCAAGGTGACCTCTTGGTGGCATTCTGCCCTAGCTAAGGGTCACCATGGCAGCCCGTGCTAAGACAGCCACCCAAAGGAGTTACCTGGGGAGTGCCTGTAGGCCTCGGCATCCCTGTAGTAGGCCAGAGCCGCAGCTGCAGCCGTGGCGGTGCTGGGGGCCGTGGAGGAGGCTGCTGCATCCAAGCCCTCTGGCCCAGAGGGGAAGAAGACCCCCGACTCTGGTGGCGAGGATACCAAAGCCGGGTCCACAAACTGGGGCAGGGGCTCTGAGGTCCCCAGGGCCCCTAGGCCAGGGAACTCCATGGGGCCTCGAGTGGGACCTGTGAGGAAGGGAGAGGTCCTCAGACTCCAAACTCCTCCTCCCCTCCCACGCCACCCCTCCCCTCCTTTCTCCTTCTCCAACTCCATTCCCTCAGTCTTCATAGCCCTCTTTTCCTCCCCTGATTTCTCCCTGTCTTCCCCTCCATCATCCCCTCCTTCCTTCTATTCCCTCTTCTCTCCTTCTGCTTCCCTTTCTTCTCTCACCCTCCTCCCATCTCTTCTTTTCCCTCCTCCCACAACCCCCCTTCTTTCCCCTCTCCTCTTCCCCCCCTTGCTCCTCTTCCCACTCCTTCTTCTCCCTCTTCTCCGGCCCCTCATCCCCTCATTCTCTCTTTCCCCAGTCCTCCTCCTCTTCTCTACCTCCACCTATGCAACTCCTCCTCTTCCTCCTCTTTAAGTCAGCCACCTCTTCCTCCTTTCCCCTTTCTACATCTCCTCCCCTCCTCATTTTCTCTTTCCCTTCTGCGTGTCCCCCTTCCCCCTCTCCTCCCCTCCTTTTCCTTTATCCTTCTCCTCTCCCTCCCTTTCTGCTCATCACTTTCTCCTCTCCTCATTTTCTCCCCCTCTTCCTCCTCTTCTCTCCCTCTAGAGGAGCCTGGGTGGGATGGGCTGGGGTGCAGAGCTAGAGTCCCTTGAGCCACTTGTCACCCCTGGGACCTTGGGGTTTACCCTCTTGTGCTCCCCAACTTCATCCCTATCTGTTGCATATTTTAACTTTCTCAGAAACCCATGGTTTCCGGCTTGACTCCTCCCTCCCCCCACCTCCGTTGGGTCTGCAGACAGAGGGCCCCCTCAGTTCCTCCCTGCTCCATGGGGGGGGGTCAGTACCCCCCACGGCTTATCTCTGCCATCCCCGCCCAACTTTTGAAATCACCCCAAGGCTACTGGCTTCCTCTGAGGAGGGGGACAGGTCTGCCCTGGGGAGGCCTACCATAGTTCTGCTTTCAGATTCCTTCAGTTCCAGCCAGCCCCAGGCCTCAGTTTCCCCATCTGCCAGATAGGAGGTGGTGACAGGGGCCCAGCTAAGACCTGTGAGGTGGCAGCTTCATCTTTGCCCCTTTGTCTTTGGCTTTCCCTGTGTGTGTATCTATGTCCCCGCATCTCTCTCCTCGTGACACTCTCTCCTGCCCAGCCTGGCCCTCGATATTTCTGTCCCATCTTTCTATGCTACCATGATATGTCTTGTCCTCTCTCTTTCTCTGCTTTTTTTTTTTAACTTATTTGACAGAAAGATAGAGAGCACAAGTAGGCAGAGTGGCAGGCAGAAGAAGAGGGGGAAGCAGGCTCCCCGCTGAGCAGGGAGCCCGATGCGGGGCTTAATCCCAGGACCCTGGGACCATGACCCGAGCCGAAGGCAGACACTTAACCGACTGAGCCACCCAGGTGCCCCTCTCTTTCTCTGCTTTAACGAGTGCCTAATTTTTCCCTTTCCTTTCTCTGGCTTCCCATGTCTCTATCTCTGGTTGTCTCTCCATCTTTATCTCCGTGTCTTTCATCTCTTTCTGATTCACTTCTCCCTCCCTCTCCAGTCATGTCTCTGAATGTCTCTACATCTCTCCCACTCAGTCTCTTTCGGCTTGTTTGTCTCTTCTCTCTCTCTCTTTCTGCCCTCTGGCTTTATTTCCATGTCTGTCTTACTAGTCCCACATCCTTGCCCATACCCCACTACACACAGCCCGGGTGAGGAGCCAGAAAACCTACCCTTGCCCCTAACTTGCCCTATGAATCTGAAGGCCTCAGTTTCCCTGTTCTTGGGATGGAGTAACAGAGATAGAGTAGAAGGCCATCTTCACAGCCCCAGCCTACGTGACCCACTGTGTGAACACGCTGAAGGTTGGGCTCAGGGTTGGGGGTTGTGCGGGCAAAGAGAGGAGCCCGTGGCTGTGTCTCTCACCAGCCTCATCCAGGCCGCAGGATCTCCTCTGACTCTCCCCGGAGTGGGTGTCTTGCCTCCTCCTCTATTTCCATCTCTTTTCCTTTGTGTGTCTCCATGATTCTTTCTATCTGTGAGGCTCTCTCTTTCTGCATTCGTGTCTTGCTCTCTTTCTGTTCCTGGGTCTCTTTCACTTTCCTGCTTTCTCTCTGTTTCTCCTTTCTTTTTTTTTTTAATATTTTATTTATTTATTTGACAGAGAGAGACAACAGCGAAAGAGGGAACGCAAAAAGGGGGAGTGGGAGAGGGAGAAGCAGGCTTCCCGCTGAGCAGGGAGCCCGACGCGGGGCTCGATCCCAGGACCCTGGGACCATGACCTGAGCTGAAGGCAGACGCCTAACAACTGAGCCACCCAGGTGGCCCTCTGTTTCTCCTTTCTTTTTCTTCCTGTCTGTCCCTTGCTCTTTGTCTCTGTCTCTTTTTCTCCCTTTCTCTCTGTTTCTTCCTTCTCTGTCTCTTGTTCTTTTTGTCTCTGTCACCACTGTTCCTTTATCCCCCCTCATCCTCACCTCCCCCCTCCCCCCCAATGATCTCCCTTCAGTCCCACTGCCCCACATCCTTGCGCCTAGCACCTTGGCGGGTCCAGGGCTGCCCACCCCTCCTATGGCAGGGGCCCAGCCCCCCCAGCCCCAGTTATCACTCTCCGGACAGAGATAAAGTTTATCTCGAGGCTGGGGGATATGAAAGCTCCTTATCAGCTGCCCCACTAGAGTAAGTGCCGCCCTAACGGGCAGCAGCAGCAGGCCGGCACCCTCAACTCTCCCAAGGCCCAGCCCCTCACCCCAGGTAACATCCCTGTCCCAGCCCTCAAGGGAGGGTCTCTTGGGACTGAAGGGAGCAGAGATGGGGTCTGGGGGCAGATGAGTCTTGGGAGGCTTTGAGGTGGAATTTGAGGGTCAGATGGGGTGGAGGAGTCAGGGAGGGGTTGGGGGTATAGCTGTAGAGTTTGGGGAGAGCAGATATGGGGTTTGAGGAGCAGAGACAAATTTGAAAGGTCACGTTTTGGGATCAGAAATAGGTTGGAAAAGCAGAACACAAGATTGGGGATCTGAGGTGAAGTTTGGGAGCCAGAGAGAACGTTGAGAAGCTGGGGATATAGTTCGGGGGTCAGAGATGGATTCTGATGGTCGTGGACAAGTTTGAGGGTTCTGTGGGTTGTGCTGGAGCAGAGATGGGGTTTAGGGGTCAGAGATGGGTTTGGACAGGCAGGAATGTGTCTGATAAAGATGGATTATGGGAGCAGAAGAGGAGTTTGAGAACCGAGATGGAGTTGGGGTGGAGAAGGATTTGAGGCCAGAGGGGATCCGGGGGGCCAGAGACACATTTGGGGCTGAGATGGGGTTTAGGGAAGGCAGGCGTGAGGAGGATTCATGTGGTAGAACAGACTTGGGGTAGTAGACTTGGTGTTTAGAGTGACAGGCATTTTGGTGTGTGTGCAAGGGGCTGGGGGAGAGTAGTGGTTTGGGGGGCTCAGAGGGAAGTCACAGAGAGCAAATTGGGGCTTTGAGAGGCCCAGACGAAGATAAGAGGATAAAGCCAGCGTTTAGGGGACTGGAGAATTTGGAGCAGAAATCAGGATGGGGAGCAGGCAAGGGCTTGGGGAGCAGAAATAGAGATGGGGGAGCAAAAGTGAGTTTTTGGGAGAACTCAGAGACAGAAACAATTCCAGGTGAGTGAAAGCCAGATTCGGGGCAGAGCTAGGATTTGGGGGAGAAAGGCATGTTGTAGGGGGCAGGAATGGGGTATGGGGAACGGAGTTAAGCCATCAGGGGAACAGATATCTTGGAAGGAGAGGATGGAAGTCAGAGCAGAAAGAGGTCGGTTTTGGGGGGTGGTTTTAGGGCAGAGATGGGGGTTGGAAAGACAGATGGTTTGGAGGAGTTATGAAGGGCTTCAGGGGCAGTAGACACTTTGGGGACCAGCGGTGGGTTGGGGAGCCTGGAGCAGGCTGGAGGAGTAGCCTTGAGGTAAGGGACAGCAGGCCTGGGGTTTGCCTTGCTGGGGGCTCTTGGGGGGCTGAGACTGACCTGGGCTGGTTGGTGCAGAGGGTTCGGCCGCTTTGGGGATGTGGCGAGTTCAGTGTGATCCCAGGGGGTGTCCTGGCTGGCCTTGGCCTTTGAGGCTCCCTTCCTCCTTCCCTCCCTCCCTCCCTCCCTCCCTCCCCTCTCCCTCCTCCCTCCTCCCCAGGGAGTGGCTGGTGCCCCAGTGGGTGGGGCGGACCAGGGGTGGGGGCGGGCTCCCTGCTGGTGGGGCACCTCTTGGGCAGTGGGGACCTTCCTCTGCCCCATCTGCCCACCCCACGGATTCTTGGACCCTGTTCAACGTGGGCTCCCGTGGACTTCAGTGTCCAGCCAAACAAAATGGGCTGAAGCCAAGATAACATAAAAATAGCAGATACGGTTTTATGACTCCACTAGGCTTTTCAGTGAGTGTTTCCAAAGTCCCTCCTGTGTGCTGCGTCAGGTTCGGGCTTGGGCACTTATGTACGTGAATCTTCCTGGCCAACAGGGAGAGGAGGGATGTTACTGTACCCATTTTGCAGACAAGAAGAATGAGGCTCACAGAGGTTCGGTGGGATTTGAACCAGAGCCCATGGGACATCTTGATGACCCAGGCCAAGCCGGGAGGCCGGGCCAGGCCAGGGCTGGCGGGAGGCAGGGGCACACTCACTCAGTGCCCCACTGGGGCTTACGCCAGCTCTGGCCTGCCCTGGGGCAGCAGATAAGTCTTATCAGATGGAGGAGACTGTGGCTGTTGGCTCCGCGGTAACAGGCTGTCTTGGGACGGGGGGCGGGGCTGGGGGGAGCACCCAGGGACAGCGGCTTCAACTTGTTGCCCGCCATGCTGCTTTGGAGGCGGGAAACAGGTGGGACCCAGGGTTGGTTTCTCTGTGGGTCCTTGAGGAGTGGGATAGGGTTGGGGACGGGAAGAAGAACTGAAGGGGTAGAGAAGGAGAGAGGCAGATAGCAAGAGACAGAAGCAGAGACAGAGAGACAGGAAGGGGGAGACTCGGGGAGAAAAAGGGACACAGCTAGAAGGAGGCAGAGAGAGGGTACGGAGAGGAGGGAGAAACGCCAAGAGAGCCAGTGACAATTAAAGATCTACAGAGAAAGGTGAAGAGAATGAGAGACAGGACAGAAGGCGAAAGGTAGAGCCTGAAAGTGACAGAGGCTAAGGACACAGGTGGAGAACCTGGGGAGGGAGACCGAGACAGAGATTCACGAACACAGTCTGGGAGGAAGTCCACGAGACCCCAGGCGTCAGTCTGGGGTAGGCCCTGGGCCGGTGGTGCTGGATTGGGTGGGACAGGGCCATGTGGGTCGATGTGGACCCATGTGATCTGTGCTTCTGCCCTCAACTGCTGAGAGGGACCTCCAGGACTCCTGCACCTCAGTCCCCACCTTTCTGCCCTGCCCCACCTCCCCCAGAGAGGAACAACAGTGACGGCAACCGGTGTTTCATGCTGACATGGACCCCAGGCCAAGCCTGTCCTGAGCACTTGGCTTCGTGTAAAATCAATGGACGGGCGCGCCCACACGAGGCATCCAAGTCGGGTCCCCACAGAGCAGGGGTAAGAGCACCCAGTGGTGGCTCCAGGACTCCACAGGACGGAGCACCCTCCTGACCACCCATTCTACAGATGGGGAGACTGAGACCTGCCAAGGGCACAGGGCACTGACGGAGCCCTGGGTCAGTGGGGCCTGCTCCCCCACCGGCCGCCCCAGAAGGAGCTTGCTATCCTCCTCTTGCCTCCATGGGCCTCGTTGTCCTCAGAAGCAAAATGGGAGGTTTGAGGAGGAAAGAGAGCGTGGCTATGACTCTGCATTTATTGAGCTCCTGCTGTGTGCCACGTCCCGTGCTGAGCCCTCCTAAGTAACAAGGGGGGGGGTTGAAGACCCCTATGACTTAAGGGCCGATGTTTTCAGGGCTTCCGCTCTGGAGCCAGCCCCGCCTCATTCATAGCCTGCCCTAACCACGGAGGGGCCGTGTGGCCTTGGGCAAGTTACCAGCCCCCTTGGACCTCAGTTCCTCATCTATAGAGATGGGGTAATAATAGTGGCTACTCCATAGGGTGATTGGGACAGCTAAATGAGATTTAATCCGTCAAGTGATTTTAACTCGCTTGAATCTGAGATCTCAGTAAACGTTAAGTACTCGTATTGATTTACTGAGTGCTTACCATATACAAGGGATAGTACTTGACCCTTTTTTTACTAGCACTACTAATTCTAGTAATAATGCTAATCAATGTGACACTCATACCAATTTTAATTCCTAATCCTAATTCGAATATTGATACTAATCTTTTTTTTTTTAAGATTTTATTTATTTATTTGACAGAGAGACACAGCGAGAGAGGGAACACAAGCAGGGGGAGCGGGAGAGGGAGAAGTAGGCTCCCCGCTGAGCAGGGAGCCCGATGCGGGGCTCGACCCCAGGACCCTGGGATCATGACCTGAGCCAAAGGCAGACTCTTAACGACTGAGCCACCCAGGCGTCCCGATACTAATCTTAATAGTGCTAGTAATACTGATATTAATTCTAAATCTAATCGTTACTTTTCTATCTACAACCGTACTAATACGAATGCTAAATCTGATACGAATACTTTTTTTTTTTAGCACTAATATCATCATAACAACTGTTAACCGAGCCATCCCAGGCCCTGTGCTAAGTGCTCTCCCTGCCTAATTTTATCCCATTCTCACCAGGTCTTTGTGGTGTAAGTGCGTATAATTGCCCGTATCTTCCAGACTGGGAGCGGGCTCAGAGAAATGAAGATGTCTGTCCAAGGGCCTGTGCTCAGCTCTGACACTGATTTGCTGCGTGGTTCCTGGGCAGGCCACCCTCTGAGCCTCAGTTTCTTTGCCTGGATGATGGGTACAATCATAGAACTCACAGCGAATGTTGTTGAGAAGGCCACTTGACACGGTCCTGCCCGGCAGGCTGTAGAGGTTGAGCTCTGTAGTGGTAATTTTCTTCGTTGTTACTTTTTATTAGAAACAACAGTTGCAATATTGGGAGCAAGGTAGGGAAAGCTGTCCTCCTCAGGAAGGTCAGGCTGGAGGCGTGTCTCAGACAAGAGTTTGGCCACCGGACTCAGCCTATTTCTTCATAACTGGAGCAGAGAAAGGCCTTAGGAAGGGAAGTAAAGGGTGGGGAGTGGGGGCCTCAGAACCCAGGCTCCATCAAGAGCCAGAAGCTCTGAGGCTCTGAGGCCAGGCTCACCCCATTCCCTCCCCCATCCCTGTGGAGGGGGCACAGGCCCAGAAGTCTGCGGCGACAGTTCAGCCAGCAGGGAGGCAGCTGGGAGTGGGCAGATAAGGGAATCAGCAGGGCCAGGCCAGGCTTTGGGAGAGACCCAGAGGGTGGGGGTGGGGGTGGGGTGTCCGGGCCAAGCATCCCCTCTGTCAGGCCTCCATTTGAGGCTCAGCCCCAACATCCTCTCTTCCTGGAAGGCTTCCCTGACTGGTTCCCTTCTTCCTGGCATCTTCTGAGGTTCTAGAGCTTTGTCTAAGCCCATGGCATGTGAACTGTGCTTCTTCCAGACGAGTCCACCAGGCCGGAGGCAGATCCTAACTCCCCTTGGTCTCAATCGCGCAGGGAGGAAACATCAACCAAAGCCTGGCTGAGGAGTCCCACGTTTTTCTCAGAACCGAGCTGTTTTATTTTTTTTTTAAGAGAAAAGTATAGGGACGCCTGGGTGGCTCAGTCGGTTAAGCGTCTGCCTTCGGCTCAGGTCATGATCCCAGGGTCCTGGGATCGAGTCCCACATCGGAGCCTGCTTCTCCCTCTGCCTGCCTCTGTCTCTCTCTCTCTGATAAATAAATAAAATCTTAAAAAAAAAGTATAAAAGATACTGTAACAAGCATTCACCTTGGTCAAATGTTAATATTTTGCCCTATTTGCTTCAGATACTTTTAAAAGAAATATATTCAGATCCAGCTGAAGTTCTTGTACAAAGTCCATTTTCCTCTCTCCTTCCACTACCTCGAGTTTGGTGTTTGTCTCCCTCGTGTTTTCATTCCGTTACTATGTACGTATGTATCCATAAACAGCTTACGATACCAGCGGTTTTCAGCTTGCTTTTGAACTTCATATACATGGAATCATATAGTTTATGTTTCTTTTGTTCTGCATAATGTCTGTGACACTCACCCACGTTGTCGTGTGTATTAATAGTTCTTTTTTATTGAGATGTCATTCACATACCACAGAATTCACCCTTTGAAGTGTACGTTTCAGTGGTTAGTATGTTCATAAGGTTTTACAGCTATCACCACTGTCTAATTCCAGGACATTTTCATCACTCCAAAAAGAAGCTTAGCAGACATTCCCTATACTATTATCCGTCTCCCCACAGTCCCTGGAAACCACCAATCTACTGCCTGTCTCATGGATTTGCCTATTCTGGACTTTTCATATGAACAGAATCAGAATATGAGGCCTTTTGTGACTGGCTTCTTTCACTTTGCACAAAATTTCCAAGGTTCGCTCACATTGTAGCATGGATCAAACTACTTCATTCCTTTCAATCACTGAATAATATTTCACTGTATGAACATTCTACATTACGCTTGTCCATTCATCCAATGAACTGATGTTTTGGGGGTCACGAATAATGCTGCTATGAACATTCATATTAAGCTTTTTATGTGGACATATGTTTTCAGTCCTCTTGGGTATACACCTAGGAACGGAATTGTGGGGCCGTTTGGCAAGTCTCTGTTTAACTTTTTGAGGAATTGCAGAAGTATTCTCCACAGCAGTTGCATGAGGATTTCGAGTTATCCACATTTTCTCCAACACTTGATATTGTTCCTCTTTTTGATTCTGGTCATCCCAGTGGGTGTGATGTAATGTCTCGCTGTGCTTTTGATTTGATTTCCCTAATGATTACTGACATTGAGCATCTTTTCATGTGCTTGTTGGCCATCTGTATCTCTTCCTTAGAGAAATGTCTATTCAAATCCTTTGCCTGTTCTTAATTGGGTTGTCTATACTGTTGAGTAATACGAGTTCTTTTTTTGTTTTTAAAGATTATATTTGTCAGAGAGAGAGAGAGCACAAGCAGGGGGAGAGGCAGGCAGAGGGAGAAGCAGGCTC